GGCTCCCGAGTTGCTGGGATTATGGACATGCACCTGGCTCCAACCTAATGGTTTTAAACCCCCAAATTATTTGAGTTGTTTTTATATCCCTAAAGCAAGGGGCTGTTTTCGGCATACAGTAGGTGCTCAGCAAATGCCCAAGGGCCAAAAGACTGAATCTGCCTCTGGATACATGGATAGGGGAGATTTCTGGGGTCCCCTCTGTGCTCAGAGCCTTGACTTTCTCCCCAGGAGGAGTAAGTGATAGGTAGCAACCACCATGACTTTTAGCCCTGGCCCACATCCTGCCCCCCAACCTGGTTCTGCCTTCTAGAACTCTCCCAGCAAGGGCTGGTAGGGATTGGCTGGGACTGGGCTGTGAGTCACAAAGCTGCCATGGCACCAGGGTCCCAAGGCTGGCCATTCGGGCTGGTGGGTTCAGCTTCGGGGGCATGTGAGTGGGGCTGGAGAGAGGGGCTTTGTGGGGGGTACACAGGGGACCCTGCTGTCCTCCACTAGCCCCAGTGCCTCCTACCCCAGCCTGCTCTGGGCTTCTCTTGAGTGGTAGGTCGGCCACTTGGCAACCCCAAAGCCTTGACGGTGGCTTCATCTGCCCGGGGGGCGCATCCTGAAGAGCCTGCTGTGTCCCTGGGGTCCGAGGGACGGTGGTCTGAGTTCACTTACAGATGGGGGGACGGAGGCTCAGAGGGGTTTACTCCATATTGCTGAACCAGACTCAGCGTCTGTGTCCTGGGGGACCCCGTTCCTTGCCCGCGCCGTCCTGTCTCTCTCCCTCTCATCTGGTCACTCACTGGTTGGTCACGTGGTTCAGGAAACCTCTGACCCTAGAATGGACCCCGTGGGATTCTGGGACAGCTGTTTTCAAGTTCTACAGCTTGGGCTGCCCTCATTCACCCAGCCACCCGCCCATCCACCCATTCATTGAGTCATTCATAAAGCATCTCGTGAGCACCTACTGTATGCACTCTTCTATGGGATGCTGTTAAATACGGCAAAACTTAAAACAGCTGTCCCCACCCTGAGCAGCCCCTAGTCTAGTGGGAGAAAAGTCACAACAGAAAGAAGCAAGATAGGGGCTGGGGACACAGCTCAGCAGGTAGAGAGCTTGCCTCCCATGCACAAGGCCCTGGGTTCCGTCCCCAGCCCCACCAAAAAAAAAAAGAAGCAAGATGCCAGGTGGCCTTCAGTTTCTCTCCGAAATGCAGCCACCATCGGGCCAACTCCAGGGGAGCCGGGAGAGCAGAGAGATGGCCATGCCCCAAACCTGTTCCTTGTGCCAGTTTCTACCCCACACCCCGAGTTCCCAGCATCTGAGCCCTGCCTTCCCTTTGCAGTGGGGTCTTAAACCCAGCAGCTTCAACCACAACAGCTTATTGTGATTCCATTACCGGCCCCTCCCAACATGCCGGGGTGGGGGGCAGGGGTCTTCTGATCACCCTGCACCAGAGGGCAAGTGAGACCTGTGGAGGGGCTGCTTGGGTTCTAGAGCAGAGTCTGAGAGCCACTTCCTACCCCAGGCTGCTTTGTGCCGAGGCCAGGTGGGTCACAAGGGCCTCAGGGGGCAGGGTTCACCTTCCTAGGCAAAGAGCTGGGGACGGTGTTCTGTCCAACCAACACTGCTGACAGGACAGTCTAGACTTGAAGACTCAGTTCTTCTGGGGACCCCCCACAGGCCGGTGACCTCACCTCTCTGAGCCTCCATTTCTCAGTGTGGAAATATCAGTTAAGCCTGAGTGGTTGACAGTGTCTCGGATCATCCATGTTTTTTTTTTTTTTTTAATTTTTTGGTTGTAGTTAGACACAACACCTTTATTTCACTTGTTTATTTTTGTATGTGGTGCTGAGGATCGAACCCAGGGTCTCGCATGTACGAGGCGAGTGCTCTACCCCTGAGCCACGGCCCCAGCCCCAGCCCCATTATCCATGTCTTGACTTTTTTTTTTTTTTTTTTTTTGGTACTGGTGATTGAACTCAGGGGCTCTTGGCCACTGAGCCACATCCCCAGCCCTGTTTTGTATTTTATTTAGAGACAGGGTCTCACTGAGTTGCTTAGGGCCTCGCTGTTGCTGAGGCTGGCTTGGAACTCGCCATCCTCCTGCTTCAACCTCCCAAGTAGTGTGCACCACGACACCCAGTGTGACGGGGGTTTTGTTGTTATTGTTGTTGTTGCGTGTTTGTTTTTGGTACTGGGGATTGAGTCCAGAGCCTCATGCGTGATTGGCAGGTCCTCTACCCCTACTACTGAACTACAGCATCAGCCTATTTATTCAGCTATTTTTATGTTCCCCCTTTTATTCTGGGTCTCAAATTATACGTGTATCAGGCCTTTTGATATTGTTCACAGGTCCCTGAGGCCTGGTTTATGGCCCTTTTCCTCTGTGACCGTTTCGCCTACAAGTGAATTCTAAATTTTTCAGATATTGTCTTTTATTCAATTTCAGAATCTCCATCTCTTCACTCATTACGAGCCTTTTTTTTTTTTTTTTGGTACCAGGGATTGAACTCAGGGGCCCTTGACCATGAGCCACCTTCCCAGCCCTATTTCGTATTTTATTTAGAGACAGGGTCTCACTGAGTCACTTAGGGCCTTGCTTTTGCTGAGGCTGGCTTTGAACTCGTGATCCTCCTGCCTCAGCCTCCTAAGCCACTGGGATTACAGGCGTGCGCCACCGTGCCTGGCTGTAAGCCTGTTTTTTTAATTTAGCATGAACCAACTGCTGATTGAATGTATTTAAACGTATACTGAATATGTCAGTGAATTTTTTGGTCCTTATTCTCTCAACAATACAGTATAACGACTATTTATATAGCATTTCTGTTGTATTAGATATTCTCAGTCATCTAGAGAAGATTCAGAGAAGACTGCATAGGTTCCCTCAAATCCTACACAGTTTTATAGATGGGACATAAGTGTGCGTGGATCTAGGTGTCCACGGGGGCCTGTGGAGACAGGTACAGCTGTAATTAGAAGAGTTGTTCTCCAATCCTTAACTGATCCCTGAATTTTCAGCACCTTGGTTTACACTTCTTCCTTCCTTTCTTTCTATTTTTGTGGTGCTGGGGTTGAACCCAGGGCCTTTGCATATGAGGCGAGCACTATACCAGCTGAGCTCTGTCCCCAGCCCTCAAGCTGTTTCTTGGAGGGCAGCTCTGATCTCAGTTTGGTTCTGTTATTCCTACCTGGGCTGCTTAGAAACTGCCCCGCCCACGTGTGGTTCAAAGGTCCTGTCGTGATCTTGGTGGTTTATTTTATTTTATATTTATTTTTTAGTTGTAGTTGGACACGATACCTTTATTTTATTTCTTTATTTTTATGTGGTGCTGAGGATCCAACCCAGGGGCCTCGCACGTACAAGGCAAGCGCTCTACCGCTGAGCCACGGCCCCAGCCCCTGGTTTATTTTATTTTATGTGTATATTTTTGAGATGGGTTTTGGCTGGGTTGCTCCGGCTGGTCTCAAACTCCTGGGCTCAAGCGATCCCCCTGTTTCAGTGTCCCAAGTCAATGGGACTTCAGGTGTGCCCTGCTGCACGGGGCTTGGGCAGTGCTGGGGATGGAACCCAGGGCCTTGTGCATGCCAGGCAAGCGCCCTGCCACTGACCTACACTCCCACCCAGATGGAGGGCTTTTCATCAGACTTTTTAAAAACCTTTCTGTGAGGAACCAATCGGTGTTCCCATAGGCTAACCTCCTAAAAACAGGAGAAACTCCCAAAAATCTGCCGATGGACTCGGATGTCGCTCAGTTGGTAGAGTGCTTGCCGTGCATGCACAGGGCCCTGGGTTCAATCCCCAGCGCCACCAAAAAAAAAAAAAAAAATGCCTATGAGCCAGGCACAGTGGCACACCTATAATCCCCAGCATCTTGAAGGCTGAGGCAGGAAGATTGCAAGTTCAAGGCCAGCCTCAGCAATGATAAGATACTAAGCCACTCAGTGAGACCCTGTCTCTAAATAAAATACAAAACAGGGCTGGGGATGTGGCTCAGTGGTCGAGTGCCCCTGAGTTCAATCCCTGGTATCAAAAAATAATTAAAAAAAAAGAATCTGCCTGATTGGGAGTAGGGTATACAGCTCAGTGGCCGAGCACTTGCCTACCATGCTTGAGGCCCTGAGTTCCATCCCTAACACACACACACACACACACACACAAAAAAAAATCATGGTGCCTATCATTTTGTAATTTGCATTTTCCATTTAAGACTGTGTAGTGATTATTACCTCAACAGCCCTTAAAATAATTTTATGACTTGTTTATGAAGATCCTGGATTGTCATGTGGACCCTTTTTTTCTGCTGAGATAGGGTCTTGCTCTGTTGCCTACGTTGTTACTCTTAATAATTCATAAGGTTGAATTTCTGGGTTGCCTTCAAGATACTGTTTTTTGTTTTTGTTTTTTGTACCAGGGGTTGAACTCAGTGTCACCTGACCACTGAGCCACACCCCCAGCCCTATTTAGAGACAGGGTCTCACTGCGTTGCTTAGTGCCTCGCTGTTGCTGAGGCTGGCTTGGAACTCATGATCCTCCTGCCTCAGCCTCCCGAGCCTCTGGGATGACAGACGTGGGCCACCTCGCCTGGCCCAAGATACTGTCAAACAGGGCCTAGACTGGCAGAGCAATCGCGTAGCCAGTGTCGGGTCTCGGTTTTGTCCCGAGTCTGGGGGCGGGAGCCATCCTGGACTCTATTTCTTCTCAGTCTTGGGTTGTCTTCACTTTTCCTTCTTCTAAGCAACAGTGAGGGATGACCACACGGCGTCCTATACTCATATCTGAATTCCTGCTATTTCCTAGTATGTTCCTTCCTGTGGACTCTTTTTTTTTTTTTTTTGAGGAATTTGGTGTTTTTTGCTTTTAACATTTCTTCTTGTGTTGGTTTTGGGGACAGAGCCAGCCAAGAGCAGTGCTGCTACACGGTGCACGTGATGAAGAGCTGAAGGCAGCCGCCTCTTACAGGCTGGCTTCTGAGATTGTACCTTCTTCTCCTGCTCCTCTTCCAACTCTATGACCCTCCAAGGTAAGGAGATGGCTGGGCAAGGGCTTTGGCTGATCCAGCCAGAGGAACAACATACTTTTCTGCTAAACAAGTATGTCCTGCTGCAGCTTGTGTGGGAGGACTATCTGATAGGGTCCCGACTCTGTGCGAGGTAATCATCACTACAGGGTCTTAAATGGAAAATGCAAATTACAAACCCATAGGCACCAGGATTATTATTAGTATTATTTTTTGGTGTGAGGGATGGAACCCAGGGCCTCGAGCATGGTAGGCAAGTGCTCGGTCACGGAGCCGTGTACCCTGCTCCCAATCGGGCAGATTATTTTTTTCTTTTTTGAGATGGGATCTCACAGAGTTACTCACAGGTCCCAAGTTACTTCTGAAGGCCACAGTCATCCTCTCAGTCTGCCTTCTGCTCCTCCTCCCACCTGAAGTTGGTCCAGCCACCCACCAGCCACGCACTCATCCATCCCATTCATCCCTTTACCCATCTACTCAGCTGCCCATCTACCTAATCATCCATCCATCCACCCATCCACCCATCCATCCATCCATGAATCCATCTGTTCATTCTTCTATCTACACATCTGTCCATGCATCTAAGCATCCAACCATCATCCATCTATCCATCTGTCTTTCCGTTCATCCTCCATCTAACCATCCACCCACCCACCCGCCCATTTGCCATTCATCTGTCCATCTATCTGTCTGGCCATCCATCCACCCATCCATCCACCCATCTATCCATCTATCTATCTACCTATCCATCCACCTGTCCATCTACCCATCCATCCATCCATCCACCCATCTGTCCATCTTTCTGTCTATCCATCCATCCATCTGTCCATCCATCCATCCATCCATCTGTTCATCTGTCTGTCCATCTGTCCACTCATCTGTCCATCTTTCTGTCCATCCATCCATCATCCATCTGTCCATCCATCCATCCATCTGTTCATCTGTCTGTCCATCTGTCCACTCATCTGTCCATCTTTCTGTTCATCCATCCATCATCCATCTGTCCATCTATCCATCCATCCATCCATCTGTTCATCCATCTGTCCATCCATCCACCCATCTGTTCATTTTTCTGTCTGTCCATCCATCCACCCATCTGTCCATCTTTCTGTCCATCCATCCATCTGTTCACCCATCCATCTGTCCATCTGTCCGTCCATCCATCCATCCACCCACCCATTCACCTGCCCATCTACGCATGCATTAATCTGTCCATCCACACATGTAGCCACTTCCACCCCTCAACCATCCATCTACCCACCCACCCACCCCTGCATCCCCCTGTCTGTCCATCGACCTGTCCTCCCCACAGGCCCATCTGACCTGCTCAGGAACCAAGATGATGCAGCCGGCCGCACAGCTCCAGTTCATGAACCAGTTGTCACCGAGTGGGCAGTGCATCCCCCCGCCCCAGCCCATCCACTGCCTCCCGGACAAGGTGGGGAGAGCGTCTGCGCAGCAGTATGAGGCCCGCAAGTCCAAGGAGCAGCTTCCGCAACAGCCAGCTCAGAGCAAGATGGAGCCTCGCTGCATCCCACGCCTCCGGGCGGTGGTGGAGAGCCAGGCCTTCAAGAACATCCTGGTGGACGAGATGGACATGATGCTGTCCCGGGCAGCCACCCTCATCCAAGCCAACTGGAGGGGCTACCGGCTCCGACAGAAGCTCATCTCCCAGATGTTGGCGGCCAAGGCCATCCAGGAGGCCTGGCGGCGCTTCAACACGAGGCGCCTTCTCCGCTCGAGCAAGGTCACGGTGAAGAGGGTGAGCAAGGAGGAAGGAGACATCCCTTACCACCCGCCCCAGCAGGTGCGCTTCCAGCCCCAGGAAGACAAGCCCCTTCAGGTGCAGCCCGTCATGATGAGCAAGGAGACCCAGTTCCCGCCCTCCGACAGCCTCGTCACCTGCATCCCCCAGCTGGGTCTGCTGCAGCACCCCGCGGCCCAGGGCATGGCTGGGCCCGGAGTGCAGGCTCCCCACGGCCCCGGAGCCCACGGGGTGGCCTTCCTGCCGCACCAGACCATCGCCATGAGACTTCCGAGTCCGGTGAGTCTAGATCCCAAATGCCAGCCGTGCCTGCTGACGAAGACCGTCAGGAGCTCCTGCCTCATCAGGCACCTAGAGGGGGACACGGTGAAGACCAAGCACGTAACTACCAGAGCCACCAGAGCAGGGGCCCCAGAGCCACCCCCCTCGGGCAGGTATGGCCAGGCAGTTCCTGGAACATTCAAGGCCCAGATCCAGGCCCACGTGGAAGCCGATACCCACAAGACCCCACCCCAGGCCTTCCCAGCGTCCACCCTGAGCAAGACCCCACCCAAGACAAGTCCACTGGTTTCCATAACCAGGCCCCAGGCCCAGGTGTCCCCCATTTCCACAGTGACCAAGACGCCACCTCAGACAGGTCCAGGACCCATAATGACAGTCATGAAGACCCTGCCCCAGACAGGCCCGTCGCCCACAGTGACCAGGACCCAAGCTCAGATGCGACAGACACCTTCACTAACCAACGCTCCACTGCAGTCGCGGTTAGCAGCCACCATGGCCAAGATCCCCCCCCAGGTATGCCTGTTGGCTTCGGTGATGAGGCCCCCGTGCCCGGCACGCCCAGGGGCCACCACAGCCAGGCCCCCGCCACAGACGTGCCCAGTGTCTGCAATGACGAAGCCCACACCCCAGATACGCCTGGTGACCGCCCCCACCAAAAACCAGATGCAAACTTGCCAAGCCGCCACTGTGACTAAGACTCCGTCCCAGGTTTGCCCAGGTGCCTCCATAATGAAGCCTCCGCCCCAGACGCGCCTGGCGGCCATGATAACTAAGACCCCAGCCCAGATCCGCTCAGTGGCAGCTGTCCTCAGGACCCTGTGCCTGGTCCCTCCCGTCGTCGGAAATCTCAGAACGCCACCCCAAAGGGCGGCGGGATCCGCCGGAATTCCCAGCACCTGCTCCACCGTGCACCTGAACGCACAAAAGGGCAAGGTCATGGTGAACGTGAGGCAGACAGCCGGTGTCAAGGACTCATCCCACTCGTACCTGGCTGAGGGGAAGGTCCGCAGTGTCCCCCAGCCACACCTCGAAGCTGGGGCTCCCAAGCCTATGGCCAGGGGTCCCTTGGAACCTGAGAAGGTCAGGACCTGCCTCCAGAGGCAGGTGAAAAAAGAAACAGTGTCAAAGACCAACATGACAATGGAAATGACCCAGCCTTTGCCATGGACGAAGGTCGCTGAGGACAGGAACAAGTCCCCGCCACAGGCACAGCAGAGGATAGAGCTCATCAAGGTGCAGTCCCAGGTGTCCGTACCTGTGGAAGCAGCTGCGGCCCTGCCCCGGGACCAGATGGCCGCCCCTCTGACCAAGACCTTGGGCCAGGTGCGTCCGTCTCCCAGGCAGGCCAAGGCCCTGCCCCAGGAGCAGCTGACCACACCCCTGACCAAGACCTTGACCCAGTTACATCCAGCCACGGAGCAGGCCAAGGCCCTGTCCCAACAAGCACATCTGGCCACATGTCCCCCAACAGCCATGCCCCAGCCACACCTGGCCACGTGCCTGACGAAGACCACATCCCAGGTGCATCTGACTTCTGAGCAGACCAAGGTCCTGTCCCAGGGACATCTGTCCACAACCCTGGCCAAAACCCTGCCCCAGCCCCCGCGGGCCGCACCTCTGATGACGGCGTCCCCACTGCACTCGCTCGCCAAGCAGACCAAGGCTGGGCCCCAAGCACACCTGGCCCCACAATCACCCAAGACCCCCTCCCAGGTGTACCCACCCTCCAGGCTGACCAAGACCCCGTCGCTGGCTCACCTCGTCACGTGTCTGACCAAGGCCCAGTCCCAGGTGCATCTGAGCTCCGGGGCAGTAAAGATCCAGTCCCAAGCACAGCTGCCCGTTGGGCTGACCAAGACACAGTCCCAGGCCCAGCTGGTCTCCCAGACCAAGTCCTTCCTCACAGCTTGCCAGTCCACGGACCTCAACAGCAAGACGCAGTCCCAGCCCCTCCTGACCGGATCCAGGGCGTCTGCCCCCTCCTGCCAGCACCTGGGGGCGATGAGCTTCCTGCCCCGACCCAAGTCCGAGGACAGACCTGCCCAGCTCCAGCCCCAAGGCCACGTCCAGAGCAAGACCACGCATGGCCCCTGCCCAGTGGCCTCAGAGGCCCAGGGCATGCTGGTACCTCTGATGACCTCCACCGGACACCCCACGTGCAACATCGAGCCCTGGGGTGACAGCGGAACGCCGCGGGCCCAGCCGCCCGTGGCCAGCCAGGCGGTGCCCTGTCAGGAGGCGGCGGCTTCCCAGATCGCCTCCCTGTGCGCGGAGCTGGCCGCTGTGCTGGGCTCCCAGGAGGACATCCGGGCCCTGCTGGCCAAAGCCCTCTCCCAGGGAGAAGTGCGGGCCGCTCTGAACCAAGCCCTGTCCAAGGATGTCCTGGGCACCACTGTGACCAAGGCGATGCCGCAGGGCATGCTGGGCATGGCCCTGGTGAAGGCGTTGTCCTGGGGTGAACTGGGCATCACCCTCTCCCGGGCGCTGTCTCGGGGCGAACTGCGCTCAGAGCTCACCAAGGTCATGCAGGGCAAGTTGGCCGAAGTGCTCAGCAAGGCCCTGACGGACGAGGAGCGGGCGGCCCTCGGTCAAGCCCTGTGTCAGGGGGAGCTGGGTGCTGTCCTCAGCCAGTCTCTGTCCCAGGAAGCCTTGAGGACTGGAGCCATCCTCCCCAAGGCCTCCTCGAAAGCTGTGGGCAGCGGGATGACTCTGCTGCCCGCCTCAGTGGAGGTGGACTGCCGGGGGAACGCATCGGCCGCGTGGGGATCCGCCGTGGGCCCCGGGAGTCCGCAGCCCAGCAAGGTCAGGGTCTCCCAGGTTGGAGGCTGGGAGGACTTCACCATGGGCCAGCACGCCGGGCTCCTGGAGGAGATGGGGGACGGGGCCACGTTGGAGGGGTCACCCTGCTCGACACTGTTCCCTGTGGGTATGTCCCTAACCGGTAGGATGGTCCCCAGCATCTGCCACTATCCCATGGTCATGGGCCTGGACCTCATACAGCCCTGGGGCAGGGGGCCCGCGGGGGCCTCGTATCTGAGCCCCAGCATCAAAAAGAGAAGCAGGTGGCTGACCCCAGGGGCCAGCCCCGCGACGGGTGTGGAGGGCCCCCACTTGCCTAAGGCGCCCCGCGCTCAGCCACCCCCCAGCCTGTGGCAGTCCTTCATTGTCAACGGCATAGGCCCCAGCACAAGCCAGCCATCCGTGACATGTGACAGTACCCCGAGCTCCCACAAGCCACAAGTGGTCAGCAGGGTGGCCTCTCATTCGTGGGCGCTGTCAGGGAAGGGCAGCGGGGCCTCTGGTAGACCTCCGGGCAGCGTGGGAGGCAGGAGGGCGGTCCATTCCCAGCCGTCTTTCCCCGTCTGTCAGGATGCCGCTTGCTGGTGTCAGTTTTCGGGGGTCAGCAGGGTGTCCCCCAAACACTCCCATCACCGCTCAGTGATCAGAGGTCAAAATCAGCTCTGCCAGGCCCCTGAGGAGGCTCTGAGGAGGAGGCCCCAGCCTCCAGGTCACAAGCCGGCCTTCCATGGTCCCAGGCAGGTAGTCACCAACATGACCTCAAGCTCAATGAGGACCACCATGGTGAGCAAGGCGCAGGCAGCCAAGTGCCCGGCAGGTGGCAGTTTGTACCCAGGTCCCCCAGCCCTCATGTTGGGACGCGGCCTTCGACCCAGGGGGGCTCTAACAAGGAATCCTCCCCGTCCCCGGGAGCATGTGGCTAGTCACCAAATGTCCCTTCTCAATGAGTTGGTGTCCAGTTTGCCACAGCACCCAGACAATGTCCTGACTAGAAACTTTACTCCGGGCTCCGTGGGCCCCAGGCAGAAGATCCCAAACCTCTACTGGCGCCCCCCTACTGTCCCCCCGCTCACCCCAGTCCTGAGCCGTGGCCCAGTGTCCAGCCACATGGCCTTGAGTGTCCACTGGGACTCAGAGGAACAGAAGAAGAATAGGTCCTCCCCGGGCCAGAGCTCCCTGGCTCTGGTGGAGAGAGTCTCTCAGGAGACTTTCCGACCAGGGCTGAGGAGGAGTCTGTCTCTGGGCTCTGTGGAGCACCAGCAGCCATCTCTGGCCACCAAGCTGGCTCTTAACCAGTCTCAGTCTATATCGGCCAGTCGGGAAGCCCCAAACTTAGCCAAGTCAATCCTTTGCCAGCTGCCAGTGGGCGGCAGGTTGACCCGAAGCCTGTCCCAGCCTACAGTGTGCATTAAGGTGCCCTCAAGCAGAGCCCAGCCCCTGGCCACCATTAGACCAGCCTCAAGCCCACCCCAGCCAAGAGTGGGTGGCAGGGTGTTCCTAGTAATACCCAGCACGTCCTCAAGCAGCGAGGTGGCCTCTGGAGGTGTATGTACCTCTGGGACTGGCAGGGAGACCCCTAGTAAAGCCCCCCCATCTATGGCCAGTGAGATAGTCCCAAGGTCTGGCCATTTATCTGAGGCCAGTAGGGTCTCCACAAGCCTGGTCCCTATAGCTAGGACTGATGGGGTGGTTCCAACACAGAGTCACCCCTCTGAGATCAGTGGGGTGACCCCTGGCCCAGCTCAGCCACCTTTGGCCAGTGGGGTGTCCCCAAACTTGGCTCAACCTTCTGTGGCTATTGGAGTTTCCTTAAACTTTGTCCAGCCACCTGTGGACAGTGGGGTGTCCCCCAGCCTAGCCAAGCCATCTATGGCCACAGGACTGCTCCCCAGCCTAGTCCAGTCATCTGTGGCCAGTGGGGCATCCCCAAACCTGGCTCAGCCATCTCTGTGCACTGAAACGTCCCCCAGTCTAGCCCAGCCATCCAAGGCCAGTGAAGTATCCCCAAGATTTATCCAGCCTTCTATGGACAACGGGTTGTCCCCAAGCCCAACTCAGCTACCTATGGTCAGCGGGGTGTTCTCAAGTTTTGTTAAAACTTCTCTGACCAGTGGGGTCTCCCCAAGCCCAACCCAGCCACCTATGGACAGTAGGGAATCCCCTGGCCCAGCCCAGCCATCTTTGGCCACTGGGGTGTCCCCTTGCCTAGCTCTCCCATCTACGGCCAGCGGGACATCCCCAAACCTTGCCCAACAATCTATGACTGTTCGGGTGTCCCCAAACCTTCCCCATAAGTCTATGGCCAGTGGGATGACCCCAAGCCCAGCCCAGCCTTCTATAGCTATTGGGATGGCACAACTTCTTGAACAACCTTCTGTGGCCCATGGGATGTCCTCAAATCTTGGCCAGCCTTCTATGGCCAGTGGGATGTCCCCACATCCTGCCCAACCATCTTTGACTAGTGGAGTGTCCCCTGGCCTCCCTCATGCATTGATGTCCAGTGAGGTGTCCCCCCCCCTTGCCCAGCCTTCTATGACCCCAAGCCCACCCCACCAATCTGTGGCCAGTGGAGTGTCTCAAAGCCTAGCTCAACCTTGCATGGCCACTGGGCTGTCCCCAACCTTTGCCCAGCCTTCTATGGCCAATGGGGTGTCCCCAAGACCACCCCACAGATCTACAGCCCAAGGAATGGTTCTGAGAATGTCCCAACCTCCTATGGCCATTGGGATGTCCCTAAGCTTGGCTAATCCTTCTGTTTCCCATGGGGTATCCCCAAGTATTGGCCAGCCTACCATGGTCAGTGGGGTGTCCCCAAGCCCACCTCACCTATCTCTGACCAGTGGGATGGCTCCAAGTCTAGATCAACCTGTGGCCAGTGGGGTGTCCCCAAGCCCACCCCAACGATGTACAGCCCGTGGAGTGTCTCCAAGAGCGCCCCAACCTTCTATGGCCAGTGGGCTGTCCCCCACCTTTGTCCAGCCTTCTATGACCAGTGGGGAGCCACCCACCCTTGAGCAGCCTTCTATGACCAGTGCGCTGTCCCCAAGCCTACCTCACCAACCTATGGCCAGTGGGATGTCTCAAAGTCTAGCTCAACCTTCTGTGGCCAGCGGGGTGTCCCCAAGACCATCCTACCAATCCACAGCCTATGGAGTAGCTCCGAGCCTGGCCCAGCCTTTTATAGACAGTGGGGTGTCCCCAAGTCTGGCCCAACTGTGTATGCCTATTGGGATGTCCCCAAGCTTGGTCCATCCTTCTATGACAAATGGGGTGTCCCCCAGCCTAGCTCACCCACTGATGGCTGGTGGCTTATCTCCCATTCTGTCCCACCGACCTATGGCCACTCATGTGGCTCCCAGTCCGGCCCATCTATCCATGGCCAGTGGGGTACCCCCAAGCTTTATCCACCCCTCCGTGGCCAGTGGGCTGCACCCCTACCTGGCTCAGCCACCGGTGGCCAATGAGGTGTCCCCAATCTTTGCTCAGCCTTTCATAGCCCACAGGGCGCCCCCAAGCCTTGCCCAGCACCCTATGCCCTGGGGAGTATCCCAAGGCCTGGCCCAACCCGCTGTGGCCAGTGAGGTGGCCCCAAGCCTAGCCCATCCAGTATTGGCCAGTGGAGGGTATCCCATTCTGTCCCACCAACCGATGGCCAGCGGGGTGGCCCCCAGCCTTATCCAAACACCTCCATCCAGTCCACCTGTCTCCAGGCAAACCTGGGCCAACCACCCCTTTCTGGCTCCCGGGGCATCCCCTCTTCTGGCTCAGGCCTCCGTGGCTCATCTGGGGCCCCTGAGCCTGTCCCAGCCCTGCACGGCCACTGGATTGGCCTGTGGTCTCTCCCAGCCATCCGTGATCTATGGGGTGGGCCGGGGTCTCTGTGAGCCAGCCCCAGGGCCCCGGGTGGATCCGACCCTGCAGGCCTCACGAGTGAGTGCAGGTGCCCCCGGCCTGTGCCCTCCGTCCGTCTTCCTCTCCCTCGGCTCGGGCAGGTCCTACTCCTGCGTGCCTGGGAGGCTGGGCCTGGGTCTGCACCAGCCTCCTCTGGATGTCGGGGTGGGCACGTGTGAGGACCCCGCCGTGGCAGATAGGGTGGTCTCAAACCTCCAGGACGCTCAGTTCAGCCAGGTGTCCCTTGGGCTCCACCAGCCGTCCAGTGTGTCGGGGAGGCACCCAACAGCGGTCTCCATGTCCGCTCCCAACCTCTACCAGACGGATATGACCAAGGAGGTGACCCAAGGACCCAGTATGTTCCATTCGACTTGGCTCAAGGGCATGTCTGCCTGCTCCTCTGAGGGGCCCGCAGCCGCTGGGATGCTGCTCAGTCTGTCCCAGGGGGCTACCCCCGCTGGCCTGGCCGGGAGCATATTCCAGAAAAACATGGTGCCTTCAATGGGCCCAAGCCAATGTCAGGTGACGGATGGCCTGGTTCCCATGGCGTCCCAGGTCTTGGAGAGAGGGGTCTCTCTGACCCATGGAGAAACTTCCATGGCCACGGGGATGGACCCCAGTCGTCCCCGTGTCGCACTGCCCAGCAGACTGGGTACGAGCCAGGACCCGCTCTCCGTGTTTCATCTGGGCCTCAGAACCTCTCAGGCCACCATCCCACTGCCAATGCCATTAGACCACCAGCCGCCCGCCGTGCCCACAGTTGACCCATCTAGTTACCCATATGCACGTATTGTCCCTGAGGATTCTGTGATGGGGACAGCCAGCGGTAGCCTTGCCTCAAGTTCTGCAGACCGTCGGCTGACCCCAGCCATGGTCCCAAACGCTGTGGCTAATTTTATGGCCTGTAGTCTTTCCCGAGGCTCTGTGATCAGGGGTATGGGTCAGGGCCTTCCCCGGGGGTCCATGGTCACTGGCATGGCCCAGGGTCGTCTTCTAGACCCCACGGCCAGTGGCATGGTCCGCAGTCTCCCCCCGGGGACTGGAGCCGGTAGGGTGGCCCCTCATCAAATGGCGGCATCGGGAGCTAAAGGGAAGAGGCTGGGCCTGGCCATGGGGCCCTTGGCTAGGTTCACTGCTCCGAGCCTGTCCCCGGGTTCGGTGGCCCCTGGGGTAGGCCCAAGTGTCCCTCTTGGTTCTGTGAAAACCGGAGGCCAGGGTCCTCCCCAGGGGTCCATGCTCATCGGACTCACGCCCCGGCCCTACCACGGAGCTGGCGAGGGCCCTGCGGCCCTGCTCCAGGCTGCCCATGCTGCCGGCCTGGCCCAGGTTCACCCTCAGGCCTCAGGAGCCCAGGGCACAACCAGGGCTCAGCACCGAGTGCCCACAGTTCTGTCAAGAGCCTCACCCTTTACTCAGGACCCTAGGATACTGACACTGGGGACCATAGAGGACCCGACCAAACTGAAACCCAGAGAGTTAGGTGGGGCTCTAGCCCAGGAATCAGGATCCCATAGAGAGTCCAACAAATCCAAGGTCCTGGAGGCGACCCCATGGATGTACCAGAGACCCATGGACAATCACGTCGAGACTCCTCGAGGGCCCCCACGGGCAGAGGAGACACTTCCCAAAGGCCAGATGTCACTGCTGGGCGAGAGGGCTCCCGGCCAAGCCAGCGGCATAGCTCCCATCCCTTTCCGGGCCAGGCACTCGATGACCAGTAGCTTCTCCGCAAGTCTCCAACCCGACTCGGCCAGCCCCAGGGGTGCCCCCAGCACCTACCTCATCACCACCAGCAGGGCCCGCAGTCTGCAGTTGGGGACCGCAGTGGACAGGGCCATGCCACAGCCCCTGACTCCAGTGGTCTCTGACGATTTCTCAGCTCTTCAGCCCGAGTCCATGACTCACATGAGACCTCCAAGCCGGGGGTCACTGACTTCTGATATAGTCTTGACGTCACCCCATCTGACCAGTCCCGTGGCCTCCAGTTTATATGCAGGGTCTGTGGCCAGGACGGAGAGCTCAGGTGTGCTCCAGAGGTCAGGGTCCGGCAACGTGGCCCCACACGTGCAGCCCTATCAATCCTTGGTTAAAAAAGCCGTGCCCGGTCACTCCCAGATGGCACCTGTCCCCAGTACATTCCAGAAACCAGTGTCCGGGAACCTGACCCAGACCAGCCTCAAGTCTCTCCGCCCTAAAAAATACTACCGACTCATTCATGGTAAACTTATTCCCGAGTTGCTAGAAGGTTCTATGACCACGGTGGTGCCCTCCAATCAGGGGCAGCGGCAGGAAACCCAGTCCCCCCTGGCCAGCCGCAGACACTCCCCTTGTGAACTGTGGGTGGGCAGGACACCCACCGTCCAACCCAGTGATACAGCCTATGACCCCAGTGTCATTAGACTGTCCCCCGGGGTTCGGAGGGTGTCTCTGGGCTATACAACTTCACCCAGTGGCCTCTGGAGGCCCCTCCTTGAACAGGACTCCCATGAGTCCATGCGTCTTGTCACTAGACAGCAGAAGCCATTTCCGACCCCCTCTGTCCACCAGGGCCAGATCTCCCATCATGCCGTGGGTCCTGTAGCTGGCCTTCACAAGCCATCCCTGGTCCCCACTGTACTCCAGGGCCCCGTGGATGCTGGCTTGGCCAGTGGTGTTCCCAGCGAAGCCGTCAGGCCCATGGACCACGCTGTGGCCCCCCAGAGCACGTGGGAGACGGCCAGGGGCCCCGTGCCGTGGGACACCTTGGGCAGCGTGGCGGCGGTGAGCCCCAGACAGCCGGGGGAGCTGATGGTGTCCGTGCAGACCATGGAGAAGATCCTCGTCCGGGCCGTGGTGGTGATCCAGGCGTTCGCGCGCGGCTACCTGGTCCGCAGTACCATCCGGGTGTGGCATCAGTGCGCCACCGTCATCCAAGCGAGTTGGCGTGGCTTCCGCGTGCGACGGAACCTGGCCCGGCTGTACCGAGCCACCACCATCATCCAGGCCGCCTGGCGAGGCTACTGCACCCGCAGGGACTGTGCCCAGCAGATGCTGCTCCCGGCCGTGTGGGTGGAGCTGGGCAGCAAGGTCCGGGCGGCCCCCCACCCCCGCTGTTTCCAGGGCAGCGAGGCCAGGCTGGGCTCCGACCACCGCTGCTTCCAGTCCTGCCAGCCTCACATCTGCAGCCTCTGCCAGTCGCTGAGCCCCGGGCTGGGCAACCCGCCCAGCGTGGTGATGCTCGTGGGCTCCAGTCCCCGCACGTGCCACACGTGCGGCCACACCCTGCCCACGCGAGTGGTGCACGGCACGGGCCGCAGCATCTCCAGCCAGGGGGGCCTGCTGTGGGCCTGCAGCTCCCCGAAGGCCTCCCAGGGCCTCTGCAGGTCACCCGGCCAGAACAGAGCGGCCATGGCCATCCAGTCGGCCTGGAGGGGCTTCAAGACCCGCCGCCAGCTCCGCCAGCAGCAGTCGGCAGCCAAGATGGTTCAGTCCAACTGGAGAGGCCACTACACCCGGAGCTGCCTCACCACGGACATGCTCCTGGGGTCGGGAGCCCCGCGGGACTGCTCAAGGGGTCCCTTGCGACACAGCACCCACAGCGCCCGGTCCGTGCGCTGGCCCGGCGTCTAGGACCCTGGCTGCGTGCCAGCAGAGGGACATATGGGAAGGACCGTGTGGCTCTCTGGGTCTGATGAATAAAGTCCTCCACAGCCTGGGTCCCGGGTCACGTGTTCTGGGTTAATGGGGCGTCTTGGGAATTGGGGGAGGGGATCCGGAACAGCCCAGGGGGAGGGGGCCCCAACGCTTCCAGCCACGTGGGTCTGTCCTGAAGGTCACGGTCTGCCAGGACGGCCTCTCCAGTGCCATCCTATCCTTCCATGGCTAGCAGGGTGGCCGCTGGCCGGTCACTTCCGGATGAAAGCCACCCCCTGCATACTTCAGAAACCCAAATCTGGGGACCCGGCCCAGAGCAGCCACCTTGAACACCTCGGCCTCAGGGCACCTGGGTCTGGAAGTACTGGCAGGTTCCAGGTGCACCCCGATTGGGAGGGTGCCAGGCCCACCCACAGAGGGGGACAATGACATTCCCAGCCTCATGGGGCATAGGATGGAGCCGCAGAAAAGGGAAGGGGCAGGGGGTGCTCTGTGTGGGCAGCCTGGACAGAGAAGAGTCACGCGGGGTGGAGGGAGCCCCAGAGGGGACGTTAGAGTGGTGGGGGCTGCGGGGGAAGGGGAGCAGAGCGCCAGGGGTGCTGGGGGTTGGAGGGCTTCAGGGTGACGGTCCAGGCCAGGTCTGGGAGGACTGGGGAGGGAACGGCACCCTGGAGGAGCGGGCGCCACCCCTGAGCCCCGTCTGTGCCTGGTCTCTGCGCAGTACCAGCTGCCACCAGCAGGGGCGCGCTCGCGGCGGATAGCACACCGTGCCGCGCACCTGGCGGCGCACCTGGCCACACACCTGGCAGAGCCTGCTGTGGCCCTCCCCGCTCAGAAATGGCGAGCACCCAGCTGCTGCCGCTTCTGCTCCTGGCTCTGGCGCTGCTGCGGAAGCCGCCAGGGAATTCCTCTACTCTTGCCTTTACAGGTGAGGGCAGGTAAGAGGGAGGCTGAGCTTCCAGAAGGCTGGTGGCGGGTGGGGACAGGGCACACTGTCTGGTCTCTGAGCCCCCGCTGAGGTCACACTGCTCTCCCAGTCTCACAGGGATACCTGCCCTTTCCCCAGAAACAGGAGAGAACACCTCCAGTACCTCTGTGTGACAAGCCCCAGGGACACCAGACAACCAGTTTGAAGCTCTGTCTCTCACCCGTTTCTTTGAGCCCCGTCCCAAAGGGCGATTGGCGAGGACACCCGGGCCATGGGAAGGGCCTGGTATCAGGGGTTCACTTCCTGGTCATTCAGCATCCACAGCTCCCAGGAGAAGTTCTTCTTAGTGTCTGACTTAATTCCCTCCTGCTGCCCTATGAGACAGAAGCGTTCCGTGCATCCCCTCCCCCAGTCATCCTTCCACTCTGCCATGGCTCCCTCTGGCCAGCCTTCAGCCCCAAACTACAATGCCAGAGCAAAGGTCACCTGGGTTGGGGTGTTTACTGCAGGCCGGGGTTTGTTCATCCCAGTTTCGATAGCTCAGGAAGCTGAGGCTCTGTCCCAGACACAGATTAGACCCCGCTGACTTGGCGCACGCCGGCCTCCCGTCCTGGCACACCATCTAGAAGCAGCCCTACGTTCTCTTCTGGCCAACTTTCCTGTAGCTCCTGAGCACCTCGTCTGGGCTGAGTGCTCAGTAGGGCTTGCACCTTCCTCCTCTTCCTCTTTCTCGCCCCCTGCTTTTCCTTAGTTTACTTTAAAAACTCGGTTTCTTTAGAGTCCTGGCAAGTCTTGGGGTTCACTAGGGCCCCTGACTCATCTTCATTTCAGTAGAAACCTCTCATAGTCCGGACTCCTTTCTCAAATGATGGTGGGAGGCAGCCTGGGGAAGCTGACCTATTATTCCTGGACTCTGTGAAGGTCCTTGTACGATGAGCTGTAATTCCTTACGTTTAAAATGAGGGTGAAGTTGGGGTGTTACTCCAACCTCCTCTAGACTCACTCGTGTTCCCCTGGGGCCTGGGAGGCCGAGGGGGAAGGGGGCTGCAGATCCACCTCCCCCAGCCCCAGGGCCAGGGCTAAGTGTTATTTCCGCATTTCTGCTGCCTTTGGTGACTCAGGGAGAAAGCAGAGATCTGCCCAAGTCAGAGTGAGGTGGGGTGTGGCCAGAGGCCACCGGGAATGAACCTGCACGCACCTGAGGTACCCAGCTACCTCGAGCTGGGCAGGAAGCCACCGTGGGAGATGTCTGCCCCTCGGCTCCATGCCAGGACAGGGGGGGAACCTGGGTGTGGCTGGAGCCAGGCAGGGCTTTTCAGAAGCGTGACCCTCCGAGGGTTCCCAGGGCCCAGGTCTCTATGTTTCCCCGTTAAAGCCCCAAGTTTAGGGCTGGGGTGAGGCTCAGTGGCAGAGCAATTGCCTGGCACGCGTGAGGCCCGGGTTCCATCCCCAGCGCTGCAAAGGACAAACAAGAGACAAAAGCAAGACCTCTCGGGTTTAGGCCAGCCTGTGGCGCAGCCTGCAATCCCCTCAGCTCGGGAGGCTGAGGCAGGAGGATCGCGAGTTCAAAGCCAGCCTCAGTAACCAAGTGAGTCCCTGTCTCTAAATAAAATACAAAATAGGGCCGGGGATGTGACTTGGTGGTCGAGTGCCTCTGAGTTCAATTCCTGGTACAAAAAAAAAAAAAAAAGCCCTCTGGGTTTAGCCCTGGAGACCCTCCAGATCCCTGAAGCCGAAACCGAGTTCCAGAAAGTCATCCTGTCCCTGCTACTGGGGCTTGAACATAGGCTGGCCTCAGACTTGCAATCCTCCTGCCTCAGTCTCCTGAGTAGCTGGGATTACGGGCGCGCACCACCACCGTGACTGACTGGAGTCCCACAAAGTTTCAAGGTGTTGTTCCGCCTGGGTGACAGCCACTCCTCCACCTGGAGGCTTCTAGAGCTCTGAGGCAAGAGGCAGTGAGTGGGAAAGCCCCCCCCACACACACACACCTGGAATTGAACTTGAATCCTGAGAAAGCCCCCAGACCTGGGCTTGAACTTGAATCCTGGAGGGGGGGGGAGCTTGACCTCTCCAGGGAGCCTGCTTCTCTCTGAACTCTCTTGTGGGGTCCTGGGAGGAGCTGAGCGGGCTCCCTCTCTCTCTTTTGGGAGCTGGGGGTGGAACCCAGGGCCTTGCACATGCTCAGTACCTGTCCTGCCACGGAGTCCCTGCCCCAGTGCCAGCACCCCTTTGATCCTAATCACAGGCTCCCAAACCCGGTCTTCTTTATTCTCAGGTGTTGCTTTTACATTGATCTTGGAAAACAGAGCAATGCCATCGACTTCTACCAGCCCCACGTCCAGTTTAGAGTCCACCCCCACCAGCTCCCTAAGCCAGACAGAATCAAGCCACACCAGCCCCTCAAATTCA